CTCACGGAATTTTCCACAAGCTTCTGACTTGTGTTGCATTAAGTAAATATATCCAAAACATGAATAATCATCAATGAAAGTGATGAAGTACTCAAACCCTCCTCTTGCTTGGGTGTTCATAGGACCACATGCGTCTGTGTGTACTAACTCTAATTGTTCTTTGGCTATCCTTTGGCTGAGAAAGCCCTTCGAGTCATCTTTCCTTCAATACAAGATTCACACTTTGGCATAGGCTCCTCTATCTCACAAGAAACCTTCTTTAACCAACATTTGAATCATATTTTGATTGATGTGACTCAATCGTAGATGCCAAAGATACAATGAGTCTAGAGAAACTGTCTTTCTTTTAACATTCAATCTAGATGAAATTACATTTATTTCAATATTATGCATTTGATATGAGCTAGGAGTTAAAATGTATAGACTATTTTTCAATACACCAGAAGTTATAACACAACTATTTAACTTAATTAAAACAGGTTTCCAAAAAGTAAAAATATAGTTTTTGCAAACTAACTTTGAAACTGAAATCAAATTGGGCCTAACACTTGGCGCATAAAGACAATCTTCCAACACAAGACTCCTCCCACTATCAAACTGTATATGAACCACTCCCACTGCTTTAGCTTCCACCTTGGCATTAGATCCCATATGCAAGTATATTTCTCCTTCATTGAGGCTTCTAGACTCCTGGAATCCCTGCAAAGAATTGCAAACATGATTAGTGGTTCTAGAATCTATGCACCAGAAATCTATAGATTCAACTACATAGTATGCCTCAACAACGAATATACCTTTTTCTTTGCCTTGCATGCAAATTGTTGGGCAGTTAGGTTTCCAGTGACCCGATTGATCACAAAGGACGCATTTCTCTTCCCCTTCAACCTGCTCTTTCTTCTTCCCCTTTTCCTTTTGGATCCCTTTATTTGGCACTACCACATTTTGGGCACCATCCTTCTTCTTCTTTTTTCCCTTCCTCTTGGACCTAGAAGTGGATGGTCCAGTAGACTGAATGTAGTTAATAGATGCACCCTTACTTTTGATTATCCCTTCAAAAGTTACCAACTCATCCAGAAGTTCAGTGAGTGTGTACTCAAGCTTATTCATTGAATAATTAACTCTAAAAGAGTTATATGAGTCTAGCAACAAGGCGATAATCATGTCAACGTAAAGCTTACCATCCAAGTTGCATCCAAGGATCTCAAGTTCATTTAGAAAACCAATTATTTTTAAAATATGATCTCAAACTGGAGTACCTTGGACAATTTTGGTAGTCATTATGTTTGTCATAGCATTTTGGCGTGCACTCTTACCAACTTGCCCAAACATTTCCTTGAGATTAAGCATAATGTCAGCAGAAGTAAGATAATGAAGATGTTGACTTTGGAGCACATTCGAGATTGAAGCAAGAATGTAACATCTAGTCATCTCATATGTTTTATTCCATTTCTTAAAAGCTTCATGCTCCTCGGGAGGATCCTTAGGCAAAGGTGGAGAAGGTCGAGGAGTAGTGAGTACAAAATTGAACCTCTCATATGTGAGTACAATATCTAGTTGCCTTTTCCAATCGATATAATTTAGTCTAGTTAATCGATTATCTTTTAGTATCTTTGCAAGTGGACTGAATGGACTAGTTATAATAAATTTGAAAATAAAAGCATTCATACAATAAATAAGGTGAATAAAAATAATCATGCAAAATAAATTAATCAACAATCTTTATTTAATTAATTGTGGGTCCCTAACCATGTCGCATAAAAAATTGGACAATTAATATGCCAATAACTTATCCAGTTGGCGGAATTCATTATTACTATTGACGAGAAAAATCTATCATTTCCATATCTCTTTAGACAATGCCTTATCCATATATGAAATGATTTCCGATTATGTTTAGCCTTTCTAAAATAACTTAGTATAAACCACTCCGTAGGGGAGCTAACACTATTGATTTTAGATTGAGTGTATAACATTATTAGTACTCCAACGAAAAATACAATATTAAATATATTATTATTATAAGCTTAGACTCTTCAAATCATGCGTGAAGCCTTATTTTTAAAGATCTAACAACAATGAACATTTAATAATTTTATTTTCGTGAGACGACCTTCTTGTAATTTCAGAATCTTCAAATCAAACGTGGAATCTTATTTTTAAAGATCTAATTACAATTGTTATAATAATGAAGGTCGTGGGGTAATGTATAAAAATACCCATTTCCATTCAATTTTTAATCATTCATAATTAGGGTTTTTCATTCATTTACTTACATGATATAATGCATGCAAAACGTCTTCATTTTAATCCAATTAAATTTAGAAAATATTTGGTAATTTGAGGAATACTTTTAAAAATAAATTTTCAAAAATAACTTTTCATTTCCCTTTAAATGCCCTCTAATTAATTAGTAATCAAATCCAATTAATTTTCATAATTTAATTAATATAAATCAAATTATTTAAATAAATATCATGGATCCAATGCATGAATAATAATAATTAGCAATTCTATATTTCATGCATTTCATATATCACATAAATAAATAAATAAAAGACTAAAGCAAATAATTAAAATGGCCAATGGATTTAGCTTTTAAAATTAAAAAAAACTAAATAATTACTAAGTACTATAATTATTTCACTCCATTAACTCCCACTATCTTTAAGTAGTGGAGAATTACTTTAAAATCTACTTTGGGGGCAATAATGCACTCTTTAATGAGCGAAAATAACACAAAATAATCATAAAAACGAGCCTGAAGGTCCACCATAAGAATCTGTGTGCATGCAGGAGACCAAACCTGGACCCATGCACCCCCACGTGCTCACCACGCTCCCTCACGCGCTCACCATGCACATGTTCAAGGCAGCAGCGTGTGGCACGTGCTGCCACTCGCCTGATGCGTTGGCAATGGCTAGCGCGTGGTCCTCACGTGCTAGATGATTGGGAGCGCATGGAGCACACCGTGAGCCTTGCCGCACCAGATCTCTTCATGCTTTTGATCACGATCTAGTGGCTGTGGATTCGGGCGCACGGTACGTTGGTGTACTGCGCCGCACTGGATCCCATGTGTTCCCTCCGGCGCCGCTAGCAACCCTTCGGCCGCCTGAATCTCGCCAGAATTTTCAGAATTCATACAAAAGCTCGGATCCCATGTGTTCTCTCCGACGCCGTCAGAATCTCAGCAGAATTTCTAGATTTCATAAAAAAAAAAAAAAAAAAAAAAAAAAAAAAAAAAAAGGCCCAAAAATTCTGGAAAAATTCTATAAAAATTATAAAATATTCCAGAAAATTCTAAGAACCTTATTTAACACTCTTAGACCTTCTTGAAGTTTCATGGTACCCATTGATGAAAATTACATGGCTTTAAAATTAATTATACATATGAAATACATTAAAAAATAAATAAATTACATAATTGAACTTTCAAATGGCTAAATCAAAGCCTTAATTACATTCATCCAAAGATAAATTACATTTAACCTATAAGCTTCATCCATTCACAAGTATACATACATCATCATCATGTATCAATATATATTAACATATTTAAACCATATATCAACATACATCAATATATACATATGCATATAATAATTAGATCCATGAATGATGATTTTCATAAAAAAACATGATCTCTAGTCATGAATCAAACCAAGCTCTGATACCATTGTTGGGAAAATTGAATTTTTAAAACTTTTTGAGGGATTTTCATACATGGATCTTGATTTATCACATAGAGATAAGTTTTATGCAAAAAATAAGATGATGAATCATTCAATTATTAGATTAAAAACTTACATCAAATGTTTAAATAAATCTTAAATATTTTCTCTAAAGTGAATTGTCTCAAATATTGTAGATCCTTTAAGTAGATCATTTCTCCTATGATCTCTTTCTTTTTGGTAGTGATTTTTCCTTTAAGAATCACCCATAAATCTTGATGAATGACCTTGGAGACAAGGCTTATGGGAACCTCTTTTAGACGAGAAAGTTAACCCTAAAAATCTAGAGAGAAAATATATATTTCTGTCTTGCAAAGGCGTAACCTAAAATATACATGGACCCATGTATATATAGGCAAAATAAAAATAAAAATTGAAGACAATATATTTTTCTCAATCTCTAAAATTCACGTGATATTTCAAATCTAATAGACCTCCAATATCAAGTTGGGCTTTGGGTAAGAATCCCTTAGGCTTACAATTTTCTTGGTTATTATGAATTAATAATTAGCCTAATCCATTATACCATGAATTCAATTCAATTAATTCATAAATCAGTTTCTACTTCACTAAAAGAAATTAATTGGACTCCAATTAAATAGTAAATAACTTCTAAGTCAATGTTGCATTTTTACCCCTCTATGCATAATTATTTATCGGATTATAAGTCATCAATCCGACTACATAATTAATATATTTATTTTGGTACTTTTAATTATTTCTGACTTGATCACAATAAAAATTTGTTTTACAAAAGTAATAATTTAGTAAATATATATATATAAAACATTTTGTCTAAAACACACAAAGGCCTTCGAATTTAGTTTGTAATCAATCATAATCAATACAAAATAAATACAAGTAACAAAGATGCAAATATTGAAAATATAAACCTCTAACTATTAATTATATAACTACCCAAAGTGCCGATCTTTGGATCTCGAAATATCCGCTGAACAAATCAAAGTAATTATTAATTAATAAAAGAAACTATACTTATCTCATGCTTGAAGGTCAAAAGTCATGACAATGATAGAGAGCAATTACATACGACGGCTCTCGTAATATATCTCAACTTATCGTGAATTCGGTTCAAATCTTAGTTAATTAAATGTCGGCCAGTGGCCTAACGGTATTAGTCTTTTACTTCTCAAAGGGAGGTCAGGGATTTAAGTCTCAGCAGAGACGTGTGTGTGAGTACCAACAAGTAAAAAAAAAAATGTCCATTAATAATTACTGATTTTGAACCATTTATGATTACTATTTATAACCTTGTATTAATTGCCATCACATATATATATAAATATATCATGTAATCAAGTGGACACAATCAATTCCATAATGAATGGAAAAAATAATACATTACATTCACCAATTGCATAATGCATAAATAATACTCAGCTAAGGAACAATGACTTTTATGGTCCAAACAAGAATTTGCTATGCAATGACACACAAATCCCTCTAGAGAAAACTGCATCCCTGTCAGTACAAAGACATGTTAGCGTTGAATATATCAAAGAATTTTGAATGATGATTCCTCTTGTACCCTATGTGCAAAACCGTACTCAAATTTGTTCAATTTGACATCTGATTTATTTAATTTGCATATGATGGATTAGGTTTTCACCAATTTGTTGATTTGCTGAAGTAGAAGTAAAACCAACGTATCAATGATCGATTATATATGGACCTTAACTATTTTTTATATTTTAAATTTTTTTGTGACAATTTTTTGGTGTTCACAGGAGAAGAATCAACTTAGCTAAACTATATAAATTTTTAAGAAAATGAGAAATTGACTAGTATGATCGAACTCACAAATGCACTAGGGAACATCCTAGAGAAGATTGAGTTTTTGGCTCTCATAAGCAGCACATATAGTCCATAACAAGGGATGTGAACTAAACCCAACCCTAAATACCTGCAACAAGAAAGCATCCATTAGGTTAATGATATTATACATATATATATATATATATTCAGCCAGCAAACTTTGTAAAAAAATAAATGAATATAGATGAAGTAAACATGGTACCACAGAGGTGCCCATGGAGATGAGAGGTCAAGGAAAGGATATGGCCACCTGCATGCAAGAAGTTGGAAACTTTATTTAAACATTTCTTGAACCGAAAAATCAGATGAAAAAAATTGAGTTATTTTCCTTCACTGTAACTTAAAAGCGCGCGCACACACACACATATATATATAGATGCATAGTAGGAGTTATTTACCAGTTGGTAAAACCGAATGCGTGAAGAAGCCAATGGAAAATAACATAGACAACACTCCATAGCACAAAATACGTGAGCCGGTACCAAGGAAATGGCTGAAACATTAAATGGAAATGGCTGAAACATTAAACTTGTTCAAGCAAACGAAATCAATCAGTCTATAAACACACACACACATATGCTAAAATATCTTCCAGCAAATTAAGCCACAATGACACTTACAAGGCTATTGATAGCAGAATCAATAAGTAGAAACACAGCATTTAGGCTATGCATGCATCCAATCAACTGTCAATTAAGAATGATCAACAGTTAAAAAGTAGAAGAGATCAATATTAAAGCAATACAGTGAATGTAAATTGAACTTTCAATCTATATTAACCTGTAAAATGTTTAAAGTGAGGAAAAAGGGGTAAGAATTTAATCTTCATAATATGAATTCACAAATGCGCACGCGCATATATATATATATATAGTTTTCCCCCAAGGACATGCCCTCTATAATGTAAAAGAAATCTGTACCTGCTTAGGCTGGTTTTAGTATTTTAACCAGCTTAGCAGGAGATTGATGATCAAGTTTTAGTTTTTCCCTAGCAAACTAGGGGGAGGGGCGACTCCAACACGGACAAACCCACTCGGAGAGTTGGGTGCTCTATCAACTAGGCCATGTTGGTTTTTGTTCTGATACAACTTTTTTAGCTTTGCTCTGATACCACTTTGTTGGAAATAAGTGGGCTAGAATTTGGAAGAGAAGAGGATGTAGAGGAATAATTGAAAAATTATTCTTTTCACTTCTACTATTTTATCTTATTATTCTACTCACATATAAAATAGGTCCATTACATGAGTTTATATAGGATTCTAGACGTACGTAACCAATTACATTTAGAGTCCTGCTATGACATATTGTGACTTCCACATGCATGTTAGTGTGTGGACTACTTTAAGACAAAAGCGTATGATTTTTTTTATTAATATTATTTTAATTTCTCTCCCATTCCCGGCGAAGGTCACATCCTTTTTGTCGAAATCGTGGGTCCATCATCAAAGTTGTCATCAACCCCTTACTCGATTTCAACATTCCAAGGATTGATACACCGGAACGCCGTGATACTGCAATAACAACAATTTTCCGCCGGCCATCAACATTTTGGGTAACAGAGTAGTCTGAAGGTTGGGTAGCAAAGGTTTGAAGATTTTACAGATTTGCTATGGAGAGAGAGTGTGTGGGAGTAAGATCTCTCAATTTGGTTAGGGCTAATCATACTGTTGGGTCTGCATTTGGAACCAAAAAATACAAAACAATACTTTCTGAACAGGTAATACAAAGACAAGATCAAGTATAAAATCAAAATCACAATATAAACAAAAGAAGTGAGAGAAATATAAGATAGATATGAGAAGATTTTGCCAAGGAGTGAGAGAGAAGGGCGGGGTAGTGCCTCTACAGAAGAGAAAGCGTTGTCTATTTTAAGATAGCCACCTGTTCAATCGATTTTTTCTGGCTAAAATAAGCTGGTCAAAATATTATTTTCCCTACATTGAAATGTCCATAACTCCCATTACTCCCACTAACATAACCATTAGTAGCATAACTTATACTAACATAGTATTTAGGAGGCTTAATTCACATACTTCTTATTTTTACATAACATTCTCCATCAAGACCATTTACTACCCCCATTAACATGAAATGCACACAAACATCATGTATACCAAATACTTGAAAATGCTAATTACTACTAAAATTCTAAAATCAAGTTTATTTCCAATAGGCCATTGGATAATCCCGGATTGATGATCAAGTTATCACGGCATAAAATGGAACAACTTCCCACTATATATATATGGATTTGGGCACACAGTTATAACGAATAAATTGTACAACTGATACTTAAAAGTAATTAAAGATGTACAGATGTTCCAAGCAGAAGAGAGAGCTTAATTAGAAACACTAGACTCATATAAATCCAGAGAAATGGGATAAAAAAACAGATACAGTAAGATTTTTTTTTATTTTTTATTTAAAGAAAGCAAGGTATATATATATATGTAGTACTGTAAAACAGCGATTCTCACGAGATGAAGATGACTTACCAGGGTGAGGTGAAAATTTTCACCGAGCAGAAATGGGACTAGAATACACCAAAACACAATGTCCGTTAGGATAGCAGCACCAGCACTAGTCTGTTAGAAATGTAATTAATTAGAATCAACTTTCCAAAATGTACGTCTTGTTTTTTTACAAGTTACACACACATCCTACCTCTACCGAGGTTCGAACCCCCAACTTCTTTTTTGGAAAGGGGTGATACCGCTGATCCATTTGGTACTTTGGTCCAAAATGTACGATTCGTAAAAGGGTAAACACTTTTAGTTGGATATGCGCCAAAAAATTACTTTTAGTTGGATATGCCCCAAAAAATCATATCCAATTATATACATGAGCAATTTGATTTAGAGCATTCCACTTTTCACCAATTGTACTACATTTATCTTTTTCCTTTTTTCTTTTAAAGAAAATGACAAGAAGGTCATTGAATTCATTAATGCACTATTCCTGAATTTATAATGTAATAATTATCATTTATACAACTTTAACTTTTTTTTTACCTTCTTTACTTTATTTACTATTTTTTTTTTCTTTCTATTTGTTTTTTCCAGAGGTCCTCTCAAAGAAAATAATTTATTTCATACTAATAATTTAATTTTGACAATCAAAACAAATAATTTATTGCATGATAACATCTTTCTTCTTTTTTTCTTTTTCTTTTTTTATAATTTTTTATAGGTCTTGTCAAAAGAAATAATTTATTAGATAAAAATAACATCTTTTTTTTAATTATTTTTTTGGATCTTATCAAAAGAGATAATTTATTCAATATAGATAAAAAGAAATTTAATTCTCTTCTTTTCATACTTTTTTTTTTTTTTTTCTTTTGGGGATCTTGAAGATAATTTCTTCAATAAATATTTTTTTTCGGGTTTTTTTTTTTTCATGTCAAAAGAAATAATTTTTTTAGTGGTTATTTTTTTTTTTTTGGCCCGGTCAAAAGAGTCAATTTATGCAACATAAATTTTTATTTCTTGGTCCAGTAAAAAAAAAAATTTATTCAATTATACAATTAATTTTTTGTCTTGTTAAAAGAGACCTAAAATAATAAAAATAAGAGATAAGTAGAGAAAATTTAAAAGGACAATTTTATCATTTAAAAAGTAATAATTATTTACTTGTAATGTTAGGATTAAAGTTATCATTTCATTTAATAATTGTAGTACAAAGGTTGCAAAAATGGAGTGCGAATATCACATTCATGTTATCATTGCTTCAAAACATTATCTATCATATTATCATTGCTTCAAAACAAGTCAATTGCCTATCTTTCTATCTATCTATCTATCTATCTATCTATATATATATATATATATATAAGTATATATTAAACACATAAGTTGTATAAAGGGATTAACCTGATAAATAGCTTGCATAAGATACTCCCAAAACCCTGCTTTATGGTCACAGTCCTCTTGTTTATAATAGCTTTGCAATTTGATACTATCTCCCAAATCCTTTTTCATAAACTCGTCACTCTCCCCATTTTTGGGCAGTGTTTTCTTTGAGTAGGAGTTCCGCCAGCATCCACGAACAGATATAGCTGTTCCAACCTACATTAATCCAGAATATATATATATATATATATATATATATAAGAATGAGATTTAACATTCAAAACTCAAACATTAATCCAATTATGTTAATTGTAAAATGAAAAACCAGGGGTTGTCGAAGGAATCAACATATATATATATATATATGAATGAGATTTAACATTCAAAACTCAAACATTAATCCAATTATGTTAATTGTAAAATGAAAAACCAGGGGTTGTCGAAGGAATCAACATTAATATATATATATATATATATATATATATATATATATAAGAATGAGATTTAACATTCAAAACTCAAACATTAATCCAATTATGTTAATTGTAAAATGAAAAACCAGGGGTTGTCGAAGGAATCAACATACAGCAAAGTAGACCATCACCAATGCAAAACTCCATCTGCACACAGATCCGGCCATCCCATCATTTAAAAAAAAAAAAAAACCCAAAAATTAAAAAATTTCAACTAAGAAAAAATATATAAAATAAAAAATAGCATCAAATACATTTTTCTAAGAAGGCCTACTTTACTAAAGCTGTAAGTTGCCAAAAAAAAAAAAAAAAAAAAAAAGCCAAAAGCTGTAAGAAATTTAGTTTGAAGTATAAGATTTGAATTAATAAATTATTTATTTTCCTGTGAACTGAAGGGCCCTTGGGAATGAATTAATGAACTTACTGAGTGTAGAAATAGAAGACAGAGACACCATAGACGGAGACGGTCTGAAAGAGTAGGAAAGCCATGGAAGTGAAAGCAAAAGCTCTGTAGAAGAGGAGCCAAAGGGGATTGAGGTTTCTCCAGCATGGGACCCACAGATGAACAGAGCTCAGAGGTTCTCTCTTCTTCTTGATGAGAATCAGAGCTACAACTGCTGGGACAACAAATATGAGAGCACACACAAGGACATGCCATTGAAGCCAGTACTCCAATCCCACGCCCTCCTCCTCCTCTGACTTCACCATTAGATCTTCTATTCTCTTCTCTTAGCAGACGAGAAATTTTGAGGGACAGTTGATAGATTGATTAGGCTCAAAAATAAAAAACCATCAAAGACCGTTGACCCTTGTAATGATACTACTCAATTTAAATATTTCTTAATTTTTTGGGAAGCTGGTGCCGTGCATTACTAACTTTTGGGTAAAGTGCCAAAAAAAAATAATAATAAATAACTGACCAAAAAGCACGGATAATTACATAACCAGGTTATAATTTCAAAATGACAATATTACCCTTCTTATTACTATTGGGATAATTATCAAATAAAACCCTTATTTAATGTTGCGATAATTATCAAATAAAATGCCCCAAATTCAAACCTCCGTTGTTAACCCTAACTTCACAAATCGCCATCACCATCTCTGCGGAGTTCTCTCTCTGTAACCCATTCAAAATTGAAAAACTCCAATCGGAGTGACACAAAATGATTAGATAGAGTGCGTCAAAACTCTAATTGAAGAACAGACCCTCCAACAACATGTACTCCATGTCCTGCAACTACATGTACTCCATGGTTCCCTATATTGTTCTAACCCTTCTTCTATTTTTGTTCTCATTACACATTGAGGACAATGTGCAATTCAAGTTTGAGGTAAGGCAACATAATTACAAATTTGTTGATTAATTCCACACATTTTGAAAGAAATTTGTAATTTATGAATGGTAGAATTGAGAGCATGTGATGTTAGCAATGATTTTATAATTGTGAAGCTAGTTTGGTGTCCTAAGTCGATTCTTAATAGATTAATACTTCATGTATGTGCAATTGTTGCTAATTTTGGGATAAATTAAAAAATTTTGACATTGTGTTTGCATATAGTAGTCCACATTAATGGTTTTTCCACATTCTCATGATTTTTGAATTTTTAGAGTACTTCACTTTCACATGAGCACACTTACATCTATTTTGTGGGGTATGAACTTGATATGTTGTTATGTTTTGTAATTGACTGAGATGAGTTAGTAAATTTTGAAAATTTGAGAACTATGGCATAATGATAGGTTTGTATGAGATTGTTCTCCACTGAGTAACTGGGACTCTTGCCTCATTATGCATTGAGGATTCATGTCAAAAGGTGGAGAACTTAGGAAAAAAGAAAGTTAAAGAGTTAATTCTGATTCGTAGCCTAGTTAGCTCGAGTGATTAAGTCCGTTGGGGTGTCTTGACACCTAATGCCCTAAAATTGGCCGGTTTGGAAGTCATTGACCGAAAGCTTGCTACATAGGTTTTCTAGAGAGCTTAAGGGATCTGAACATTGCACTAAACTCTTGTTGAAAAAGAAAAAAAAAATGAAAAATGAAAATAAAAAGAAAAAAACCTAAAAAGAAAACAAAATGCATACATGAGTTAGAATTGTTATTTATGCCTTGGGAATCAAAATTGAAAGAATTTCCAATGAATTGAGGAATGTTATGGAATGTATATGAGTATGGATGGTCAACAACATAGATGGATATAAGTTCACTTTTATAAGGATGCTAGATTTCAAAATTATTTGATCTATGGATTTAAACTTTATGTGGGAACCGTAATTGTTGTGCATAATGTTGAAGGTTCGAAGTTGTTTATGACGGTGCATAATCTACATACTTGATTTAGTTTCTTGTTTATTGATTATTGGGATACCTTTGCTTGCTAAATAGGTGATAATTGTATAGATTTTGGGATGTATGTAGGTATCATCTCTAGAAACCCTCACGAGACTATAACTCATCCCCTAGGGGTAACTTAGGGGTCTAAAGGCTTGTTGCATGTGCTAAATGCAATCGTGATCCCCACGAAATGGACTGTTTGTTTCTTATCTTTGTTTATGCGTTGCTAAGGGACTAGCAATATGTAAGTTTAGGGTGTGATAAGCACTGAATATTTCATATTTGAGCCCTTAAACATGCATAAGTTAGTACCTTAACGTTGTTTTTATCTTGGTTTTATATTTATTTTAGAATATTTGTCTTTTGCAGGTCATTTCCTAAAGAATATGACAAAATCATGATTTTGGAGCTTAAAAAGATGTTCCTGGAGCTTCTAGAGATATACCAGACCTTCCGAGCTTATTCTAGAGTTATTTTGGGGTGATTGAAGGAATACAAGTCCCAGAGCTCGAGCAAAGATTGAAGAAAACAGAGAAATTTGGCTAAGTATTTTGAACTCAAGCACAAGCCCTTTATGCTCGAGCATTTTCCAAAATGTTCGAGCACGAACACCCCTGGGAGGTCCCAGAGCTTGAGCATTGGCCAAAATGCTCGAGCACAAGCATCCAATGCTCGAGTAAAAGATTTTGTGCTCGAGCACGTACAACTTCAAAAAAGTTAGAAAATATTCTAAGTGTTGTAAGAAAAGATGCTTAGGAAATTATTGATGAAAAAATGGGTAAGTATGGAAAAAAAATGTAATACCCCTAATTTTAAAAGGGTAGTCCTGGTATTTTAATTAAGTATTTTGTTGCATTTTTCATTATTTAGTTATTTTTATTGCTAGGTTATTTGCATTAATTGTTATTATTTGATTTATTTGAATTATTTGGATTAGTTGATTTAATTAGATTATTTGATTTAATTAACTTATTTAATTTAATTGGTAAATTGTTTTATTTATTATGTGTCCTTAATTAATTTATTTAAATACTCATTTAATTACATAATTAAGCCATTAAATACGTTAATAAATTCTTTAAGGTTTCTGTTAGAAGTCTCGTAAGTAGAAGCGGACATAGATTATAATGTGGTTTTGTTTTATGGGCCGATTAGGGTTTAACTTAGATTAGGATTTCCGTCTTGGATTACCATTAAACTTAGGTTATATTTGTGCCTATAAATATACGATGATAGTCGGTAGCAAGGGTTGGAAAAACCCTATTCACATATCAAGGCTACAGAGAGAAACAAAGTGAGGTTTTGGGGAAAATAGAGCATGTTCAGTGAGGGTTTCGACTGTGGGTTAAAGGTCGGACCTAGGAGAAGGGAAGAGCCAGAGTAGTAGGAGATTTGACGGTGTTTAGTATTGCCAAAACTTTGAGACGACGCCGAGATTTCGTTACTGAAAATCACAGGCAAGTTCTTTTCTTCCTCTTTCCCGTTGGCTCATGTTCTGTGCACCTAGATAGTCTCTAAGGTTTAATTGATCATCAACTGAGATTTACATGTATAGTATATGCTGTGTTGATGATCTGTATGTGTTGAAATCTATTCTATTACAGTTTGTGCATGTCTGGTTGCAGCTTTGTTTCTTAAAAGCATGTTTAAGTCTGTAAAAATTTTGATCTCTGTAATTGATTTCAACTGCTGTAAACAAACCATTGGGATGCTACTAGGTATTAATAAGACTTCTAGGAATAGTTTTAAAACCAAACAGAAAGGCTGGAAATGGCCGGAGTCGAGGACGACAATCGATAGTAGCAGAAGGCTCTCAGAGAGGGAGAGAGCCGGCTCCATGGAAGAGAGAGTCGGCTCCATGGAAGAGGGAGCCGACTCCCCCCAAGAGTAGAGCTGGCTCTAAGGGAATGTAGAGCCGGCTCCACCCCTTTAGAGCTGGTTCCAAGAAGGATTGGAGTCGACTCCATGTTTTAATGGAGCATGCTCTCCAGTTTTGAGAGCAAGCTCTCTCTTGTAGGTGCATTCTGAAAGTTTTAGTACACTGTTTGGAGAAGTTTCATTTTTCAGAATTGTGTAGGACTTTACTGGGTCTCTAAATATTGTTTTAATGAAACTTTAAAGCCTAATATGGCATTAGTTATACCTGTAGGTTAATGGATGGAACAGTACAAAATTATACAATTTTGCATGTAGGTATCGGATGGAAGGAATTTAATTGTCTAGCTTAATTTTAACAATTAAATGGAATAAAGTATGATTATAAATCTTATTTTGGATGCATGATATGGGCATTTACATATCAGTCTGGGTCTATGCTTACTCTGGTTTTTAATTGCTGAAATAATGAATTATTTTCTACAATTACATGGATTAACGTTGGGATTTTAATTGCTGAAATATTTAAACACTTTTCTGCAATTATCCGGATCATGGTTTTGGATTGTAAATTGCTGTACTATTATTTTTGTTGTAAAATTTACATGGATGTGGAGGATTGTATGCACCGGTATGGGACGGTGGCATACTAGAGAGGGTTTAGCTCAAAACGCTAAAACCTAACCTACCGGAATAAAGGAATATATTGTAAAATATTGAATCCTAAATATGTTTAAGTCAGATCAACTGACTAAGTTGAATGACTTCCTGGATTAGTTGGTTGTAGTTAAGTCATATCAACTGAATAAGTTGAGTGACTAACTGGATTGTATATTGTATGTCAGCTCAATGAATAATTGAATGACATACTCTGGTTTTGGACGGACTTTAGATATATGGTTATGGTACCATGAGATGAGCTTGAGTCTCAGGCTCGTTGGTTAGGGTGCGTATATGCAGTGGATGTGTAACTGGCTATGATAGGTTGAGGTGTACCCTGTTAGGTCTAGGTACTCATGCCCACCTATGGGTGCGTTTTGCATGTTACCTTCTATTCAGGTTAAGACCCCTATTGTAGTCCAGTGAATGTCCCTTAGTGTGGATATATATATGTATTTATGGACTAGATAGATATTGTGAGATATCTAGGGTGTATCTGCGTATCGGGTCACTGTATGGATTGTAGTTAGATTAGAACTTGTTCGTGGACCTGACCCACTCTTATGTTTTTCAGGTATCGGATGGTTCCAGTCTTAGGCTTAATCATGCTGAGCAGAGACTATCATTCATTCTACCGACGATGTAGGACTTCTCTCGATGCTCTAGTTAGATTTATTTTCAGTTATTCAGTTTAGTTGGGACTTTTGTTTCGAGGTCCACTAGATGGATTCCCAAGTTGTACTCTTGGAGGTTTTGGAGATTTGGAGTTTTATTATTCAGTATTATTGGAAGGATTTTATATTTCATAATTCTTTCAGCTTGGTTATTTAAATTCTTAATTCTTTTTATATTCTGTGTTCATTTTAAAATACTTTAATTATTTGATATTCCCTCGGGTTTGGGCTCTGGCCTGATCAACCCGTGTCTCGGATCCGAGGGGTATCACAA